GGGGGGGAATCATGGGGGAACGGCAACACACCAAACTAAAAAGCAGATGACTGATTGACTCCTGAATCGCTTATAGCTGTGGTGCTTCCAAAGGCTAGATGGGTACTGCTACATCTTTAAACCTGTAAAGATCCTAAAGCTCTCTAAGACCCTGTGATACTCAGAGTGAGCAGAACAACTGGTTTGCAGTGGCTTACTTGTTCACAGAGTAAAGTACTTGCTTAATGTCAAAGTTTCCCATTCTTGGGCCGCAGCATAATGAAACCCCGTATCTCATCTCTTGCTGACTAGTTAGCCCTTGGGGCATTTCTCTGTGATCCACCTCTTACACCTGCCTTTTAGACAGCTTCATTTCTGCTTCAGTCAAGACTCAAGTTAATTAGGTTCTCGCATACATGATACTCTTTAAATGTCTGCAGTAGTGCTGACATAATATACTGTAAACAGCCTTAGAAACTGTAGCTCCTAACATATCTATGGAGTGAGTTCAGCTCAGTCTCGCTGGGGTTTAATTTCACTTGGTGGCCTTCAATCCTGTTCTGTAGGAGTTGAGAAATTGTTTAGGTCTTGGGTTCCCTGTGGAGATGGATCCAGAGATGTAAGCCTTGCCCATGAGGGTTTCTGGATCTCATATCTCTACTTATGTCCCAATCCCCTTCGTGATTTAGGTATAAGTAACTTTGTAAATTGTCTTTCTGATTTTTCTGCCTCACATGCTTTGCAGATATAATGGTAGATGTTAGTCAGGCTTGTCTAGTTAGACTCAGCCCACACCCCCGGCTAGTTGTGGGAGTGTTCCTTTTTACAGCAAACTTAAATTCAGGCTGACAGAATTTCTTTCATGAAGATGGGCAACTCTTCCTGCAGCTTATGTCCCTCAGACTGTTCTGAGCAGTGTTCAATTGCAGTTGGAGCAGCGGTCACCATTCTCCTGTCCTGTCTCCCCAGTCTACATTCTCAGAAGAAAGACTTAAAAAGAGGGTCAGGCTAGTGAAGAAGTTGCTATCGTCCTCCGTTTTGGCGATTTCTGCTCAGCCCCTTTCCTTTGTCCACCAGAGATCTCCCCGGTAGAAAGATGGAACCAGCTTCCTGGGGCCTGATTTGGGCCTGTAAGCAGGATCATAGGTCTTGGGAGGAATTTGGATATCCTAAACTGACCACCTCTGCCCCTGTTTTGCTGAAGTTGCATCATCTAGTGTTGTAAGCACCAGTTGGATGTTCTGGGTCGTGTTCAGGGAGCTTATCAGTAGCACTGAAGGAGCTTGAAGATCTGAGATCTTCCTGTTAGTTCTGAACACGACAAGTCACTCTTGGGCTCTTGACCTGTTTCTTAGGTATAACAGTAAGCCATCACAGATACTTTTATGTTTGTGCTGAGTGTTGTAGTAATAATTCCCATTGGAGAACAACCAAGTCTGTCCTAGGATTTTGTCCTCCTTCAAAACCCTAAGATGTTAAGTTGACCATAGCTAAGACTGATTAGCTACTAGCATGATTAGAATTTGACTTTGTACGTGTATATATGCATCCCTATCTACTTTGGGCTGGGTGGGTGTGGGGTTATTTAAAATAATGCCTAATAAAATGACTTGAAGGCATTTATTGAACAGGAGCTTCCATTTATTGAACAGGAGCTTCCAAGTAGTGATGTTGCTTAAGGTTAGTATTTGGTGACAGGATTTTTGTTGGTAATACTTGTGGTTAGCTTTTTCTCTCTGTCCTTGGTTTCGTTCAGAGTTCTAGACCCATTACTGAAGCTTTGATCAAACATCAGCGTATTGCCATTCTAAACATATGAAAGAATCTCACAGCTTATTTGAAGGTGATAAATATAGCTTTTCCTCCATTTCTGCTGTTTCTAGTTCAAGAGATGATGGGTGTTGCTGTTAGTGGATCATGGATTTTTTTTTGCCTTACAATAGAGGAAATTAGATGGTATTGTCTTTCCCAATTCAGAGGGAGTCCTCCAAAAGGCAGCTTTTGAAGAGAGCCACATTCATTTCTTTTCTGCCGTCAATACGAAGATCAAATATTTATTTTTTTGAAACCCCTGAAACTTTTACTGCAACAAATTTCTCCCCCTTCCTCCTCAATTTTTGGACCCTCTTGAATGACACTGTGGACTGGTGATTTAAAGCTTTTAAAGGTTTTCCACTCCTGTTTTATCAGAACCTAGAAGATGAACAAAATCTGCTGTTTCCTATCTATAACCCCTTGCTGCTTTCTCCCTGAATGTTGAAATAGTTTGATCCTTTGGCAGCAAAGATGTGCTGAAGGAGCACATGAATGTGGCTCATAGAAAGACTTGAAACTTCTTCATTATTTTTTCTTTACTAAAAAAAGTGCTGATATTCTGAACTGTGGACGAGGCACCTTCTAGAAATAAAAATGAAGGCTGAGTTTCACTTTCGAACTGGAAGTAAGATAACTTCTGGTAACAAAGACTGGTTGATGTTAGATTATATATATTTATGGGATATTATCTTTCTTGGACTGGTGTCTCTCAGTCTAGTCCTGGTCAGTAGTCTAGGACAGGATGTAGTCCATCTTGGTGCTTGGGGATTAACCTAAAAAAAGTTGAATCATATTGTTTTGGTGGCATGGAAGACTTAAGGCTTGAAATAATTCTCCTTCTGGATATAATCTGGAAAAGTTGGCGCTTTCAGAGGCTTTTTTCCCTGAAGGAGGGCAGTTTAAACACCTTAGACATTTTCTTCAAATCAGTACACAAGAAAGGAATTGGTATGCATAAGGCAGTAGTGGTAAGTGGTGCATGTTAACTTGCAGAATCAAATGCTAAAGTTCACTGATCCTGTGATTCAGATTTTTTCCAGCGTGTCACCAGACCATCAACTCTGCCTGATCTAAGCTGTATCTGTTTTGTGTGTATTTGTCAGAAGAAAGAGGATGAGGCCAGGGACCCTTTCCAGGCCTAGCATAATTCAGTAATGGAAAGAGTTTGAATCTTGCTGCACAATGGTGATGGGAAAAACAAGTATTAGGGAAAAAAACCCCACACTTTCCAAGACTTCAGACAGATTTTTGTCTTTAATGGAAAGGAAGCAGGCAGGCTCTATGAGCAACTGGCTGGAGTAGGAGAAATGAACTTACTGCTTCTATTTTATATTTACTAGTTTCAAAACCAAAAACCTGCTAGAAGGCTTCCTTGTGGTTGAAATGTTTGCTCTGTGTGTTGTATCCTGCATCGCTACAGTTGTGCACGCAAGACTGATTCAGTTTGAGTAGCAACTTGTGAAGTTTAGGTCTCCTTAAGGGTAGAGAGGCCTCTGCAAGCGTTCCCTGTATAAAGCCGTTTCCCAAGTGGTTTACAGGATCTTTCGGTGATGGCCCCATGAAGCCCTTTCACCCTTGGTGTTCCTAGAAGTATATATCCTGTGAACTGGAGTATTTTCTAATACTTTGTGTGGCTTTCAAGCTTATGGAATTGCAGACAGTCCAATAGAGATGTTTTCTGCTTACTTTACTGGGTCTGAGCTGTGGAGGGCAGAGCACAGGGAAGATTAGGCAATGTGGGAAGAACAGGGTAAGGGGACCCTCCATTGGTCTTGCGCAATACCTCTGCTGCATTATTATTTTTTTTTAATCCTGTTTATACAAGACACCTTCACTTTGTTTTGCAGCTGCTTTTTTTCCCTGATTAAAGTGGGACGTGTGTCTTTCCCCTAAAAGAGACTGTTTCCTGATAGCTTTTTTCTTTTTCTAACTTGCGTGATCTGCAGCTTTGAAGAGGATTCCAGTTTTGTGACCCACAGTACTCGGTCTTCTGAAGAAAGTCCAGTCTACTGTGCTGTTGCCTTCACCAAAGAACATGGAGAAATTGATATCTGAAAAGCCTGTTTCTGTCTCTAAGGTACTCATTGATCTTTGGGGAATACTGTTTTCTGTCACCAGAAGTTAGGAAGGCCACATCTGTTTTTGGAGGCATTTCTTTTTTTTTTTTTCTTTTTTTTTTTTTTTTTTTCCCCCCCTGGAATGCTGTGGAGGTGAGTGCTATTGAAACCAGTGGCCTTTCTGGAAGAGTTCTTCTTCGTGACCACAAGTAGCAATTCAGAGTCTTTTGGCACCTTTTTCTAATTAGTCACCAAGTAGTCTTACTCTGTTCCTCTTTGCTTGGAATGGGGAGGTTTAATTTCAGAGAGCTGGTTTTTGGTGTGAGAGGGGTGTCTCCCATGAGATTAGTCCTGTTTTCTTGATATTTATGGAGGCTAGTTACAGTAAGCACATGCTTCATTGTGTTTAAGTTTTCTTCCTGTAGGGCACTGTATTGAGCTTTTGCACTCATTGCAGTGCAAAATTCTTGTTTTTGGTGGTAAGGATTTGGCAAATCAAAATTATGCTGAAATGCTTTCCCATCTTCACAGTACTATGGAAATATCAACTAACCATTAAGATACCCGTTTGTTGTGACCTTTTTCAAATAAGGGAAAAACGAGACTGGCATACTTGAGGATGGGATTCATCTAACTGAGACATACTGTGCTCTCTCCCCTAACACCTGGGTCTTAGGTACAGTGATAGGATCTCTTGTAGTCAGTGGCAGAACCTGTTCTTGTGTGTTAAAAGCTACTTGTTGCCATTGCTCCTTTTGGTTTATACGCAATACCGCTTGCTTGTAAATTTCCACCAGGGTAATTTCTGTTCAGGCTTCCCTCAGAAGAACTGCATGCTGAAACACTAGGCTGGAAATAGATGCGTTGGTGAAGGGACAGAGGCAAGAATAAGGACTCCTTACGAGTAACATGATTTTAGCTATTTTAGGAAGGGCAATGATATGAATGTGAGTGGGTGGTTTCCCATGGCACAGAACTTGAGTAACTTTGATAGTCTCAAAAGATGCTCTGACCTTGTTACCGCAGGGCATAGAAATCACTCTCTCTATTCCCATGGTCCCCTTCTTTCTTTTTTTTTAATTGTCTTTTCTTTCCACCTCTCCCAAGGATGAAACGCCTAGACTTCCTTCCCAGCAGAAGCCAGATATGAACTCATGCCCTCATGCACCTGGCAAGTATTTCCTCCCTGGTCGGATGGACAATGAGAACTGCAAGGCTAATGAGAAGGAAAGGGAGTGGATCCGTCCTGATACACCTAGCAAATGCACATGGAAGCTTGGGAAACCCCCCTCTGCCTCCCCCCATCGTCATACCACTCTGTAAGTATTGCTTTTATTTGCTGATTTTTAGTACAGCACTAATCCAGGTTCCGTCAGAGCCATGTGGATTTGACAGAAGATGACTGATTTAAATTGATGCTCTTTAGCTTGTAGATATGCTGGTGCTTCATAACTTCCATGCATAAGCAAAGCTAAGAGCCAAGGTTAAGCATACAAGGGGCCTTGCACCAAAGATGTGAAACTACATGGACTGGAAATAACTTATTTTGAGTAACCTGGCAAGCAGTTCCCTGACTAGATGAAAGATTGCACTGTTAATGCCTTTTGCTTGTAAAATAGCTGACTGAGCAGTGCTAAGCTACTTCATGCCAGGAGGAAGTGCAGAGCACTTCATTCTTGCATCAGCACTTGGCTTAGTGTCTCATTAATCCTTGTTTTGGATCAAGGACTTGATGTTTTATGAATTTCTATCCAACGGAAGTTCTTTTAAACTAAAATATCCAAAATAACTAGTCTGGTAAAGGGCGGAGAGAAAGCTGGTTGAAATAAAATGCATTGGAAATGCTGTGTTGCTTTTGTGTGACCTGCCTGTGGCCCCTTCTCTGAATACACTGACTTTGTTTGTATGTGTACCAGGCCAGAACCTCTGAAAATCCTGCCAAGCATCCTCAATAAAGTTGGCAATACACCCTTGGTGCGAATCAACAAGATTGGGAAGCAGTATGGGCTCAAGTGTGAACTCTGTGAGTACTTCTGCAGGCAGAAAACCAAAATAAGAAACACTGTTTCAGAAACTTGGGTAGTCCTGGTTAACAGTGGGACCACTGGAGTCTCACCTGAGCATAGGAGGAGTGCAGGTACACTGTAGAAAATGGTGAGAAAAATTCCTCTTTTTCTTTGGCCGATTTTCAGGTTTTTAGGATTTGGTTGTCTAAACCATCTTTAAATTTGTACTTCATGAGGACATTTCCTGCAACTGTTCCATTTTTGTGGAAAAGGTCTTTTTTCATAGAAAGTAATTTTTTAATTTTAAAAGTTCTAGGAAGTTTTTAACTGCTTCTCATATTCAGAGTATTCATCAGTATGTCTAAAAATGGAGACTTGCAGTTACCACTAAAGATCACTGAAAATGATGAAAGGGATGAAACTCTCAATGAATGTTTGTTTGTTTTTTAAACCCAAACCTACTGGAGATATCAGGAGGCTCTGATCAGAGTCCTGAAAGGTGGTGTTTGACAACAATGAAGGGATTAATGCTGGGAGTACTGAAGTGAAAGTGTAGGCTGAACAAGGGGGGAAACTTCCAGTTTGATCAGAAACATTTTGGTTGAAGAATGCAGCAGGGAAGAGGCAAGGAATGTTGGTAGAGTTCTCTTTCCCTCATGCTGTTGCAGTGGAAGAGCTCTGGGGCATTTCATCCTAATGACTGGACTGTAATAAAGAGGAAAGATGAAAGGAGAAGTCATATGTTGAGGAGACTGACAGAGTGTGGGTTCCTGGCTTCTGTGGCCAGCATCAAGTACCAAACTTGCTGTGTTGTTGTGACTCTTTAACAGTGGAGATGCTGTGAACTGAATCCCCATCTCTGGTGTTGTAAAGTAGAGAGGTCAATTGGGCAGACATGTTAACAGAGTTGTTCTTGCAGATATGTTTGGGATCAGCAGCCTGTTTAACAAATGACTGCTGTTTAAGAACTCTGCTTGGTTTCTTTGTTTCCAGTGGCAAAGTGTGAGTTCTTCAATGCTGGGGGCAGTGTGAAGGACCGCATCAGCCTGAGGATGGTAGAGGATGCTGAAAAAGCTGGGATCTTGAAGCCTGGGGACACTATCATAGAGCCAACCTCTGGAAACACAGGTAGGGCTTGGAGAGACCCTCGCAATGAGTGGGGGGGAAAATGCTGTGGTGGTTTTCTGGAAGAGGCAGACTTGAGATTAGAGCATGGAGGCTGCCTGTGCAACGAAGAAAGGGGATCCCATGGTTTACGGTGGAGTGCCTCTTCCATCTCACACAAGGAACAATTCTGCAGTGTCCTATGCTGAGCTGAACAGCTGGGAGGGAGGTCTGCTAAATTTGCAGAGGCCCTTTGCTTTAAAAGAAATGAAGTGTTTGGCCAGATTCACAAGGGTCTTTAGGTCCTATTCAGATTTAAAGTCTGACTGAAATTATTGAGGAAAATAAGCACCACTGGTGTGAATCTGGATGTTCCTATTTTATTTGGGAAGTCCCATGGTCCCTCTGTCAGGTGAGGTGGGCCTGGTTTGAGAAACAGCCTTACCTGTGTTGGTGCAGTTGAGATGGGAGATGAGCTGCATCCCCACAGCACTGTCTGCTGACATAGTTCTTGCACACCTAGATTTTTTTCAACAGGTTCCACTTGGGTCAGTGTCTTCTCCTTGGAGGGCTGGAGGAAGGAATGGTCCTGCTAGTCAGGGGCCAGGGCAGAGCATCTGATGATCTGAGCAGCCTGGAGTTAACTCCGGGCTCCTGCATCACAGCTGTTGTACTTCTGTGAAGCTGATCTACTGGTGGGGAGTAAACATACTTGGAATGCTCCCCCTTGAGCTAGTTCAATGTAAAATATACTGCTTCATCTGAGGAGGATCCTGAGCTGAGCTGCAAGCTACTTTCCTGCCTGATGTGTTCTGAAGGGGTGTCTTGTCCCATTCTTAAATTCTTTCCTGGGCATCCACAGTTGCCTTCTGATAGACACAGGCCGAGCAGTTCTTTCTTTTGTTCGTTTGATCCAGTCCAGTCTTTGTTAGTGGAGGGACTGGGATAATAAGCTGATCTGTGACCAGTTCTCCTGCCTTCAGCAGAAAACTGGGAAGTCGTATCAGTTGCTGTTTGGTCAGCAGCTGCTCTGTGAGCGGTGCAGTGCAACTGAAGCCCTTGTGACTCTGGCTATACCTCCAGTATCTGAGGTCATGCTATGACATCCTGCTTTCTGGGTCAATACCCGATGAATGGTTCTCCTTGCCACAGAATCCAAAAGATAGAAAGAAGGCAGAACTGAAGGAGGTAACAGGACAATTTCGTCAGAAAGATGTCTCTCTTCAGTAAAAGCAAAGACTAGGGCAGATGGTAACCTGAGAGAATTGGCTTTTGCTCTAGGCTACTGCTCAGAGCTACTAAGTATGTTAAATGTGAGAGCTAGTGTTACATTTTTGTCCTCTCTGCATCCCACTTTTCCCTCAGCCAAAGTCCTGTTTTGATGTTTGCTGCATTTCCAGGACAGTAGCAGAAAGTACAAAGTGTTATAGTTCAGGTCTCAAAATACTTCCTTCATCACAGACCTTAAGGGAGGGTGCTGGATGGCTTCCCTTCAGTCTTTAGCCTCAGTGAGGCCTTTGCTGTCTTTTTTTGTTGTTGTTGTTGGAGGTGTTTTTTGGTTTTGTTTTGTTTTCTTTTCTTTTTACTGAGCATCCATATTTATCTGTAATATACTAGGAAAAATCATCATCGTCATCCCCACCTCCCCCAAATATTTAAACACTACTTGAATTACCTGAAGCGTGAGTTATGCTTCTCTTACAGGAACAGTTAAAGATTTTTATTTTTTTTTCATCCCACCACTTCAGCACCATGTAGAAACAGAGCCAGCTTTGAACAAGCAAGTCTCTGTGTAGGGTAAACTGCCTGTGAGGCATTGTCATGTTGGTACTGTGCCTGGTACCTAAAAAAACAGGGGAGGTGCCATGCAGCCTGAGCTCAGATGCATATCAAGTAACTTGATCTGTTTAGCTTATCCAATAGAGGGGTGATTTGATAACAGGTGTAAGCTTCTCTTCTATGGGGAAGGCACTTCTGAGCTTAGCTCTTCAGGTGGGCAGACAATGAGAAGCTGGAGGGCAGAAACCAGGCTGGACCTGCAGATTTTTGAAGTAGAAATGAGGTGTCTGTCTGTAACAGTCAAGGTACTTCACCGTGGTAGCAAGTTGACATAGTGCATAAGAACCTTGATCACAAACAGCACTTAATCACAGAATACCAGGTTGGAAGCCATCTCAAAGATCATCTGGTCCAGCCTGTCTTAGCAAAAGCACAGTCTAGACAAGATGGCCCATCACCCTGTCCAGCTGAATTTTAAGTGCCCAATGTTGGGGAATCCACCACTTCCCCAGGGAGATTATTCCACTGGCTGGTTGTTCTCATTGTGAAAATTTTTCCTCTTGTGTCCAGTTGGAATCTCCCCAGGAGTAACTTGTACCCATTATCCCTCATCTTTTCCACGTGACTCCTTGTAAAAAGGGAGTCTCCATCTTCTTTGTAACCAGCCTTTAAATACTGGAACATGGTGATAACCCTAAGCCTTCTTTTCTCAAGGCTGAACAATCCTGATTCTCTGAGCCTTTCCTCATGCAGCCAGCATCCCAGTCCTTTGAGCATCTTTGTGGCCCTTCTCTGGACCCTCTCCAGCCTGTCCACATCTTTTTTGTATATTGGGGACCAAAACTGAACACAGTATTGCAGGTGTGGCCTGACAAGTGCTGAGTAGAGTGGGGTAAGGACTTCGTTATCGCTGCTGGTGATGCCCTTGTTGATGCAACCCAGCATCCTGTTTGCTTTCTTTGCCACAGCAGCACACTGTTCACTCATATTGTGTTGCTTGTCCACCGGGACCACTAGGTCCCTTTCCATAGAGCTGCTCCCCAGCCAGGTAGATCCCAGTCTGTGCTGTACTCCTGGATTACATTTTCAAACATGTAATCATGTCTTTTTAGAAAGGACTTTGTATTGGCACACTGTAAACTAGGGATTTAATGCCGAAGTCGGTCAATAGAGGCTCTAATGCTCTTCTGACACTACAAAAATGATTGCTCTAGTCTTCTTTAGCTTAAAGCTCATTCCTTTCCAAATTTAATTCTGTAAAAATGAAGTGTGGGAGACAGGAGAAAGGTGATGTCATAGAATCATAGAATGGTTTAGGTTGGAAGGCACATTAAAGATCATCTAGTCCAACACCCCTGCTCTAGGCAGGGACACCTCCCACTAAACCAGGTTGCTCAAAGCCTCATCCAACCTGGCTTTGAACACTTGCAAGGATGGGACATCCACAGCTTCCATGGGCAACCTGTTCCAGGGAAGTTGTGGATGCCCCATCCCTGGAAGTGCATATGGTAAAGCTAGCAGTTTGTGCATGTCAAGTTTTCCCACCCTTGGCTAAACTTTGTCGGCTGTGATCCTTTAAGAACTACCAGCATCTGTAAACCCAGTTCTCCCCAACAGCCAGAAACATTCCTTTTGTCAAGCCTCTGGTAAAAATCTGATTAAAGCCAGGGCATGCCAAAGCTAGCATTGTGGGTTTTGTTCTTTGTTGCTCCTTACTGTATGTTCTACGTGTCTTTGCTTGCTTCCAGGAATTGGGCTGGCCTTGGCTGCAGCAGTGAAAGGTTACCGTTGTATCATTGTGATGCCAGAGAAAATGAGCATGGAGAAGGTCAGATCTGCTTTTATTTTCAAGAATTTAAAAATAAGCATGCTTGCACTTGCAGAGTTCCTGGTGCAGATGAGTGCTGTGGCTTTAGCAACAAAGGTGTGGGCTTTGTCTCCTCCAAGTCATTGGCCAGGCAGAACTCTGCTGAGAGGCTGCTGCCAGTGCCCAGAGGAATCCAGGCTGGCTAGCTATGGACAGAAAAGGTCTTTAAGACCCATCCTCACAGCACTGTCACTTGGAAAACTGTCATAACTGTTTTAAACACAAATATCAAGGGAACTTGAGACTTACCTAGCACATTGAAGTGGCTACCTGTCCCAGGGTTAGCTCTCTCTCACTGAGCAAAGAGTAGGAAGGAAGGCAGCGCTGAAGCTTTGAATACTCTTCTGTTCTGCACTGGGCTGAGCACAGCTGTGAGGGAGCCTGTTTACCTCCTGAAGTTACACTGAGGGATACTGGCAAGCATCTGAGTTGTCACCACAACAACAAAGGCGAAGGAAAAGCCACCTGGGTAACATCCGCTTACCTTCACTGTGGAAAGTACAAAACGTCTAGCTCTAGAGCAAGCCCAGCCCTGTGGTGCTGCACCTGCAGCCAAAACAAGAGAAGAGAGTAGAAAAGATATCCCCTGTGTTTCACACTTGAAGCAGCAAATTGCTGTCAGCAAAACCACTTATCTCAGTACAAACACTTCCAGTGTTCCAACTGAAAGATGGAGAACAACATCCCTTGAAGGCCTGTACCCATCACTTGCTCTACCTGCTCTAGAGGGAGAGGTACCACATGGCCTTTGGTGCTCCGTGGCACATGGCAATGGCCTCCCTCCCCTCTGAAGACAGGCTTTGCCGTAGCTCAGTGTCATAAACTTTCTTGCCCTTAGAGCAGTTAAATGGTGCATAGTGTCCTGGAGGATATCATTTACTGTCTCTGTCCAAAGGAGGAGGTAAATACACGTATTTTGCACTTAAACATAAAATACTGGGCTATAGCACTGTTGGAGTGCAGAACATACATGACCAGCATTAGAGGATATGGTAATTTGCCTGAATGAGGTTTCTCAATGTGTACTAATGGTCCCTACAGGCCTGAAGGCCTAGAATAGAAACAGGAATTGACATCTAGCTCCCAAGTAAAGCTTAGTTAAGACCAAATGATGGTAAGGATTTGGACCCATGGCTCAGTGATGTGAAGCTGGGTGTTAGGAGATCTGTTAAGGAGGCTATTGCAGACCAGGTAAAAGGGAAGATGTTTTCTTTCCCCTGCATCTCAAATGAAGTCTCTGTGCTGGGAGAGTGTTTTTAGTTTTTGTGACCACCTTTATTTTTACAGGTGGATGTCCTGAGAGCTCTGGGTGCTGAGATTGTGAGGACCCCAACTACTGCCAGATTTGATTCTCCTGAATCTCACGTGGGAGTAGCATGGAGACTGAAAAATGAAATCCCCAATGCACATATACTAGACCAGGTAAGAGCCAAAGTGTCAGAGGTGCAGGCGTGACGTAGGAGGAGGTATTGCAGCCTTGTTACTTACTGTCCTTGCTTGACCGTTCAACAGTCTAGGTGTATCTTTGGAGGAAAAAATGTCCCACATCTGGAGCTGTAGTTGAGGCATCACCATGCTGTAGGGTAGCAAGCTTTTATCGTCACTAGAGGGCAGCAACGAGCTTATGGTTGCAGAAACTGCAACACATGGGTGGCTTTCCACTGACTTGGCAGTCCTGCGTGGAAGAATAGGTACAAGGCTCACGTTCTTAAAATAAACTGTCCCACAGACAGGACTGATCTTGGCATTGGAGGGTGCTGGCACCTTAGAGCTACTCTTAAATTAGGTCACTTAAGAAGGTTGTACCTCCCCTTGGGCATTCTGCCTAAGTCCAGCTAACGAGGGAACAGTCTAGAAGAAGTGTAGGTAGCTGTTGTGAGGCTTGGAGAATGCTTGTCATATTCTTGAAATGCCTCACAATGTGAATTTTGTTGTATTCCTGGTCTACTTAATGGCTCTTCTATGTTTCAATGTAGTACCGTAATGCCAGCAACCCCCTAACACACTATGATACCACAGCTGAAGAGATCCTGCAGCAGTGCGAAGGTATGTTTGCTTTACTAACCCCCTTTTCAATGAGTCCCTGGTATTCTCTTATTGTTAGGTACTTGGAGAATGGGAACTGAGTGGTTGAAAAATGCATGGATTTTGATACAGCAAGTCCCCTATGTATGCTGTGTGTCGTTAGAGAATTACTTTATTTCAGTAGTCATAATAATGACTTTTTTTTTCCCCTCATTAAAGAAGGGTGCTTTTGTTTTAAGATTTCTCTACTTGTGACCAGGTCAAGAATGCAGTGATGCTTAATTTTTTTTAAAAAAAAAAAAGCGTGGTGTAAAAGAACAGCATCACTTTTTCTGGTCACAAATACAGAATCATAGAATCACAGAATCATTTAGATTGGAAAAGACCTTTAAGATCATCAAGTTCACCCGCAAACCTAACACTGCCAAATCCACCACTAAACCATGTCCCTAAGTGCCACGTCTACATGTCTTTTAAATACCTCCAGGGATGGTGACTCAACCACTTCCCTGGGCAGCCTGTTCCAATGCTTGATAACTCTTTCTGTGAAGAATTTTTTCCTAATATCCAATCTAAACCTCCCCTGGTGCAACTTGAGGCCATTTCCTCTTGACCCGTCGCTTGTTACTTGGGAAAAGAGACTGACGCCCACCTCATTACAACCTCCTTTCAGGTAGTTGTAGAGAGTAGTAAGGTCTACGCTCAGCCTCCTTTTCTCAAGACTAAACCCCAGTTCCCTCAGCTGCTCCTTATAAGACTTGTGCTCTAGACCCCTCACCAGCTTCGTTTCTCTTTGGACACGCTCCAGCATGTCCATGTCTGTTTTGTAGTGAGGGGCCAAAACTGTATTCAAGGTGGGGTCTCACCAGTGCTGACTATAGGGGAACGGTCACTTCCTAGTCCTGCTGGCCACACTATTTCTGGTACAAGCCAGGATGCTATAGTCCTTCTTGGCTACCTGCACCCATTGCCAGCTCATATTCAGCTGGCTGTCGATCAACACCCCCAAGTCCTTTTTAGCCAGGCAGCTTTACAGCCACTCTTCCCCAAGCCTGTAGCATTGCATGGGGTGGTTGTGACCCAAGTGCAGGACCTGGCACTTAGGTATTTTTACATTCTCGGACCAAATACTCCATTACACTGGAAGTGTTATTCTTTTGACTTAAAAGCATTTGGTTTTGTGCGTGAATTGGTGTGTGTATTTTTTATTAACAAAGCTATTGTGTGAATGCACCATGGAAACTGTAGGGGGTGGCAGAAGAATGAACTATCGTACCTGCACTCACTCTGAGTGCTTACGACCAAACCAGTATTTTTCACATGAAAATGAGAGAGTAGTTGTTAACAGTTCTCTCAGTGGGTACCTATCCCATGTTCTTGGCACTCATTCAGTAAGTTAATATAATGGGCTGCTCATTCTAAGTTAAAGAACGAGTTATCTACATCAGCAAATACAGTAACAGAAGAACTACAGTTGTCAGCTGTATGGGCCATCTCCATCTGTGTCCAAAGTGCCAGAAATTGGTGCCTTGCTAGGCCATTGGATGGACATTTCAAAACCATTGTTGAAGTAAACAGGGATTGAGCAAGGTGGTCTCAAGGTAGGTCTCATAACACAGCTCTTGGGAAGCAGAGAGCCTTATCTGGCCCGTTTTTGTTAAAGAAACTCCTTACTTAGATTTAAGTGTGTTTTTAATTCTTCTGGAGGCGTTTTCACCAACTATGTTCTATCCCTCACCTTTAAACAGGAAAAATAGACATGCTGGTGGCTACGGCTGGCACAGGAGGTACTATCACTGGCATCTCCAGAAAGCTAAAGGAGAAGTGTCCAGGTTGCAAAGTAAGTGGTAAGCCTAAAGCGTTTCTGTTCAGCGCGGTGAACCTCAAACTGCTCCACTTGGCAAGTCCCGTTCCTTGCAAGCCTGCCCTGGGTCTCTATGGGAAGCTCTTGGATGTTCTCAGAAGGTAGTTCTGAACAGCAAAGAAAGGTTTTCAGACTACCTGAAATCATTGTGCTCTAATCTCACTGGTGACCAGAGTTCAGGTTTGGCTCAGCAGACAAAAACTGGCCTGCAGATCCCTTCCTGGGGTGTCTGAGAAACTTCCTTCTCTGGTGTGTACTGCACCCTTCTGTTTCCTCTCCAACTGTGCCTTCACTGACTTGTCTGGAGCTGCCGAGGTTTTACCAAGTGAAATTTTCTCTGCACACAGCAGTCTGTGTGTCTACCTGTGTGCTGTGTTAGGTTTCTTCACAGAAGTTGATATCATGTTTCTGTTGTGAATATTTTCCTACATAGGCAGGGAGTGGTAAACAAAATAAAACTTCTCTGCTTACACTTGGCACAAAATGTGTTGGCTGTAATGATGCCTGATATGTGAAGGAGGACAATCTTGTCTCGGGGAAACCCTGTCTTCTTTTTAAACCAAACGAAACCTATGTAGAACAAGTGGTGCCCCTCACTTAGTGTCCACAGTGTGAGGAGACAGGATGGGTTGCCAAGGGGCCAGAAGCAGCAAAGCATTTTGCTTACAGGGGAGGTGAATGTTGCCGGGAAGAAATGAATAGGAGACTAAGTTGCTGTTAGCTTGGCTGTGTGTGCAGCCAGTGTGACACTAACAGCTGTAATGAGGCCAGCACTCATGAGTAAATGGCTGTGTTCTCAAAAGCAGTGTGTCACAGTAGCCAATGTGTAAACTGCTTCTCCAGATTATAGGTGTTGATCCTGAAGGCTCCATCCTTGCTACACCAGAAGAACTGAACAAGACTGACAAGACAATGTATGAAGTAGAAGGAATCGGATATGATTTTGTCCCCACGGTGTTGGATAGATCTGTAAGTCATGCTTCTTATTTTACTGCCCTTTGCCCTCTGTTGGGATGCAGAAATGAGGTGAAAGGTGGAGGAAAAATGTGTGGAAGTATTTCTTTGAGCTGAAAGGGGAGGGCTAGCAGACAGAACTATTCCTGTTCTTTCCATCAGCAAAAGCAGTCTTTTGGAAGGTTTTTGCACTGGCCACGTTTGTTTTACAATGCTAGGTGGAAATGCTGTGAGCAGGTAACATTTTCCTAGAACACCCTTCTCACTGGTTTTTGTTGTGATGCTTTTTTTTAAATTAAAAAAAAAACATGCTAAGCAAGCAATCAAAAAAACCCCGAGACCCCAACAAAGCACCCCAAACCCTCCTGACCAAAAGTAGTACGACTATGTCCTGAGCAGAGTCTGTGTCCCTGGGAAGCCCTCCAAGAGGGGAGGAAACTGTTTGATGCTCTCTGGGGCTCTCTCAAAACAGCCTGTTCTCACAGTGAGGAGAGACTCAATAAGGAGTCTGTTGTGCTAACGTGATCGTCTTTACCTTGGCAAAAAAACCCACCCACCCCTGGCATTTGGAGGATGGAAACTCAGGCACAGTTGCTCAGTAGGGCAGCTGTTACCTCTAAGATCATGGGTTGAATTCACACTAGTTGTGTAGCTCCCCTAGCCCTCCTCATTTAAAAAGACCCTTGTTTCTGTCTTCCTGCCCCTTCCCAGACTGTGGACCAGTGGTACAAGAGCAATGATGAGGAGTCGTTTGCTTTAGCGCGCATGCTGATCCGAGAAGAAGGACTGCTGTGTGGTAAGAGCAGATGTGAATCCTTTGGGTTTCTCTGAATAATATGTGGGAGGTTAAAGCCTTGTGCAGGTCAGGGAGACCTTCTTCCACCTCAGAAGCTGTCTTCCTCACCCTGGGCTCCTGTACTTTCTCTCCTCCCTCGCTTTCATTCTTTCTCATTTCACTTATGGCTTGACAGTTTTGCCCCTGATCTGCATTTTGGCAGGTGGCAGCTCAGGCAGTGCCATGTCTGTAGCTGTGAAGGCAGCCAAAGAGCTGAAGGAAGGTCAGCGCTGTGTTGTTATCCTCCCTGACTCTATCCGGAACTACATGTAAGAACCTGGCTTGTTTTCTCTCTGGGAAAAGGATGAGGCAGTCCCTCAAACCTCCTTTCAGCAGTGGTGGGTTGAATACATATTTCTGATAGCACCCAGTTACCAAAGCAAGGGATGTGTTTGGGACACAACTTCTGAGGTTTCTAGCAAGGGTCTGACATGGAGTAGAAAGGAGGTTAGCGCTCTGAAAGCTGAGCTCCTCCTTGTGTCTGACTTCAGTGTATAACCATCGCTAGTTATCATCTTTCACAGCAAAAGACTTGCTTTCACTGTTTTATTTATTGGGGACCATTGCTATTATCCCGTCCCTGTAAGACTGTCCGCTCTTTCTGCCTGTGTCCACAGCATAACACAGCACTACTGTAGCAGCAGCCAGTGTTAGGGTGAGTTTAGAGGTGGAAACATATCCTCAAAATGATGTTTATAGGTGTGTTTCCTGATTTCTGTTGCATCCAACACAATACTAGGTGACTAGAAACTGCAGACAGACCTTGCTTGAGTACAGGTTGGCATTTTTCCATTCCAAGCTGTCTCTCTATTGTATTGCAAGAGACTGACGTAGTCGAAACTTTGTTTCCTATGGGATTCCTTTTTCTTCCAATGAGTATTTCTTCTCAATGTCCGTGGCTGGTAGGCTTGGATGGCAAACGGCAGTATATTTTCAATTACTCTTTAGCTGTTAGCGGCAGTGAGCTGTAAACAGTTGCTTCTGAGTGCTATTAGGTTTGCTGTCAGATGTTCAGCCTGCTAATGAGCATTTCACTTCCTGATGCTTTCCAGGTCCAAGTTCTTGAGTGACAAATGGATGATTCAGAAAGGGTTCATGAAAGAAGAAGATGACCTTGTCAAAAAACCTTGGTAAGCACGTCAGATCCATTTGGATTTTCATGAGTCTATTCAACTGACTTTATGGCAGTTGCTAATTTAAAGCTCATTTCAGTTTATACTACTTCCTTTGATTTAGCTAATCTTTCATGCTATTGTGTTGATGTATAATTGCAGCTGTTAATTAAATCTGCTTAAATTAGTTGATTTCCTTCTTTGAGTTGCATGGCAGCAGAAGACGACTTGGTACTTAATGATTTTTTATTTTTTATTTAATGAAAAGGCTTGTATCTGAAATGAAAGGTAGTATTAGAGAGAACCCTTCCAAGATCAGAGTTCTTGAGTGCAAAGCACTGCGAGTCTACATAGGTGGATCTTCCCTAAATTGCTATCTATAATGACTGTAAATATGGCTAGCTCTTTGAGTAAGACCACAACATTTTCCGTGTAAGCTAGAAGCAATGAAACTAGGGAGATTAAGGATACTCCGCTGACTGTCTGTAGTCCTAGAAAGTAGGTTAAGTGAGGAAAAGAGTTTTGGTCTTAAAGCCTTCTCACACTTCAGTGACTTTCTGATATTGGGAGGAAAACTTGAGAGCCTTGAAGCTTTACTGATTCTGGCTGAATCCTGACTCTTCCTTGCAGCCTTTTGTGATTCCTGTGGTGTTGAAGGCCACTGTACACGTTCTTTCCGTAAGATTTGCATGGGTTTGGTTTTTATTTCATCCCCAGGTGGTGGAACATCAGTGTTCAGGAACTAAAGCTCTCTGCTCCTCTGACTGTGCTTCCAACTGTTACCTGTGCAAAGACTGTTGAAATTCTCCGGGAGAAGAGATTCGACCAGGTACCAGTTGTTGATGAATCTGGGTATGTCCACATATATCACTATTCATCCATATGTGTCGCTTCCCTCATCAGGTCCCAAGGGATGTCTTTTAAATGCTTACTAGAAGTATGATATCCTTTCATTTTGTCTTTCTTCAGTTATAGTATCACAGTTCAGAAATGTTACCTTAAACACACAAATGCTGGACTTAATATATTGTCCTGGTTTTGGCTGGGGAAGAGTGGATTTTCTTTAGTGATTGCTGTGAAAAGAATGTCATTAATACCTATTGGTTTTAGTTGTTGAATAGTGTAAACATCATTTAGCAAGGACTTTTTCAGCTTCCCATAGAAGCATAGACAAAATGATGGAAAGGCTTATGAAATATTCCATACCATAGATGTCATGCTCAGTGTATAAATGGGCGTGAGCTGGGGGCTGGTCACTTCTCACGATGGTACCAATTCTCACCGGGTGGTGAGAGTGACCCATGTCATTATTATTGTTATTTTTCCTTTTCTGTTATTTTTTTCTATCAAACTGTCTTTTTCTAAACCCAGGAGGGTTTTTCTTTTCTCCCTTTTCCCTCCTGTTTTTCCCTCTTCTCCCCATCTTGGGCAGGGGGGTGAGGTGTGTGGTTCTAGTTGCCAGCTGGGGTTAAACATATGTAGTAAGCTTCTAAGGATTATTATGATATACTTATTCAGTGTGTCTCTGCAGGATAACTTCACTGGTTTTTATAATAGCTGTTTAACTTAATGAAGCAAAAATTCATATTTAAAACAAACAACCCCAAACCTACCCATCTCTACCACAGCTTTCACCTGGTTTCTTCAGAGCCTTGCACTATAGTGCAATATTGTAGTGACCCCTATAAACCAGGGTGTACCCAGCAAGCTGGTATGCCTTATTACCCTGTAGTTCTGTAGGACAGGCTGAATAATGAAGAGTTGCTCAGGTACTCTCCAGTTACAGTGCTAACTCAAAGGATTAATTGTTGTAGGTCCTTGCAACATCCTTGCAGGGAGAAGGGGAATGAGCAAAATTGAGGTGAGCATGCCTCTGGCCCTGTCACACCTTTCAAAAGGGCAGATGAGGGTGTAAAACAATGAAGTTGTGTTTTTCAAAAGCACTCTCAGATTTCAAGAAGCTTTCCAGTTGCAAGAACTAGAGATACAAAGAGCCTGATGCTCAGAAGGGCCAGGCACCCACAACACGTACTGAATTCTGTATGAGTCTCCAGAATTTTTTGGGAATTGGACTCTGTCTTCTGCAGAGACAAAGAATCCAAGTATACCAGCAATAATGTTGCTTTAAACCATGAAGCAGTTGAACGGGCTTCTTCAGGCTGGCTGAGAGTGGATGCTTTTATCTGTAGGAACACCCGAGGCTTTTGTGTTGTTTAGCTCTTTCTTCTCTCTCCTTCACCAGAGCGATTTTGGGCATGGTTACCCTGGGTAACATGCTTTCTTCACTGCTTGCTGGAAAAGTTCAGCCTTCTGATGAAGTCAGCAAAGTAATCTACAAGCAATTTAAACAGGTAAGCGGCTATATTCTACAACTCCTAGTTCTCTGGTTTAAAGTACTACTGTAGGTGTCCTAACACTTCAATGGAATCAAGTTGGGTAAGGTATACCTGGGAACCATACAAAGCAGCTGTTACTGAGCAGACATGCTCTAAACTCTGTCCTAGGTCACTCAGTAGCTCCCAGGTTTTTGTTGTGGCTCTATATTGTGCTGTTCCATTACTTCAACAGGCTTTCTTCTAGCACTCTTGTCCTTTACTCCTTCCCCAGAAACCCCATTGCAAACCTGGGCAATGTAACTGTCCAGGGGAAGAGACAGGGAGATGTTCAAACAGCTCTTGAAAATAATTTCTGTATTGGCTAAAAACAAGCAACTGTTTGCCTTCTGTATTAGATGCCTTGCTGAAAAAGGGGGATGGCTGCTGAAAGCTGATGACTTATGGTGTTGGCCAGTTTCACCTGTCCATCCAATGTGGTGTCCCAAGGTACCACAACTTCCCAGCTGTATGGGTGCTCTTCTAAAATATATAAGTACTGTTGCTGTTGCTTTTCTTCTCTTGCAGGAAAAGGATTTTGTTTTTAACATGGAATGCTTGATCTATTTTTCACCAGGCTTTTAGTTTCAACACTGTCTCTTAGTAGATGAGGTGCTGTATTCTGGAAGTATGTGTAATGCTTCCATTCAGCCTACAAGCTACCAAGTCCCTGAGGTTGAGAAATGATGCTAGTTCTTTATGGACAAATGTAAATGTATTTTTTCCTTCACAGACAGATAATCAAGCATCAGGTGGAAATGTGGTGCGTAACAAAACTGCTTAGTTCATGTTCTCCCTCACTTGGACACCTTAAGCGTTTCTGGGCTGGTGGTGTGCAATCATTTCTGTAGCTACACTGGTGTTAGCTGTAGTAGCCGATTCTCTGCACTTCTGAGGTTGTGGCTTTTTTCCATGGGCGGCTTGAAGTTTCTCATGCTGCTTCAGTAAAGAAGGGCTTAACTGTTTCTTTTCTCTTTAGTTCTGACTCTTTTCTTGGTGGAGGATGGAAGGGGATTGACACAAAAGTGGTGGTATTGCTAGCATGCTAACTAAAAGCATCATTCATTGGTTATTTTCCATTTGAATTGATGATTTAATGGAAAAACATGGTTAAATGCACATAACCTCAGAGGTATTGTGAATTTTGCTTTACTTGCCACTTTAGTCAAGCTTATTTGTCTTGTTTACTGGTGAAATTGGGAAAATGGATCATCTGTGCCACTGAAATGGCTTAGGATATCCTACAGTTAGGATCTGTACCACAGCATACATCAATAAGAGGTCAGCTTAGCCTGTGACTACCAAGGCAAAGCTATCTTTTTGGCAACACAGGAAACCTTCTTTGATATGATTGCCACGATTATTTTGTGGCAATCTTTTAGAATGGAAAAGTAATGATTCTAGTCTCCAGTAGGATAGTAGTCTATGGCTTTGAAATACTAGACAAAGGGTAATTTTCTAATCCAAACAAGTGCTGTGTGCTAGTAGAGAGGAGGGCCGTTCTTGTGGAGTCGGATGTTAGTTTCAGTGGTTTGGGGTCTCTCTACCCCTTCTTCCCTGAAAGATCTTTGCATCAACTACTAACATCTGTTAGGTCTGGTGCAGGCATAGCCTTAGCAGATTTCTTGTCTGCCTTTACCAGAAAGTAAGGCTGGGGCATGATCTCTGATACTTTCTTGTTACTATACCCAGTGTTTAATTGTTAGCTCGTTCCCTGGTGTGGTTTTGGTTAGTGTCCTAAAGCATTTAGCACTGTACTAAACAATGCAAGGCATGGTGTCCCCAGCATCCACGGTGGACCAGAGCAGACTTCTGGGGAAGGAGAAAATTTAATTGTAGGGCCATGAGCAGTGCCATGTCGCTTGCCCTTGGAGCCAAACAAGGCTGCTTGTCTTGGTCATCTTTAGCCTACCCAGTCCCTGAAAACAGGTCTATTGAGTATATACAATCGGATGTCAAGGGGCTGTACCCCTTCAGTGAGCTTTGAACTTAGCTTCAAAAGTTAGGCTTTGCACGTATGCTTGCACAAAACTGCTTGTCAGTGGTGACGACTGATAGCTGACTTGATGTCGCAGTAGGTCCAGATTTCTCGCCACCCCTTGCCTGGCTCAAAAGCTGGAGCTCAAAAAGGACTGGTGCTTCAGTATGCACTATATCTTGCTGGTCCCTTAAACGCAGGCTGGTGGGAATCCTTTTGATCCCTTCTAACTTAGAGTATAGAGATGACAGCTCTGTGTTCCGGTGCAGCCTCACTGCTCATGCATTTATTCCTTAGTCACAAGCCGAGCTTGCTGCAGGATAAAGGGTTTTTTAGTCTGCAGCGCAAGACTTCTCTTTGCCATAAATTGCTTTAATCCCCTTTAGTGAAAGTATGTCAGATGGTGGGTTTTGCTGTTACCTGGGGAGAATCACCTGGGTAATAGACCTGTTGCTGCTGCTTAATATGTTAAAGCATGTAGGAAGAACAGTTTTATGCAGTTCTTTCAAATGGTTCCAGCAGGTGATCAGTTAAGTGTTTCAGAAGGATCTGTATTGTTTCTGCAGTCAACACCGGGTGCTTTCTTGTTTAGTCTTAGTGAAGTTGAACTTCACTAAAAATGAATTCTTAATTCTCAGTTCTTTTGATTTGCACCTGAATACAGTGTTAGCTAGCAGTCTTCACCCTTGGTTTTGTTTTTGGCTTCTTCAGGCTTTTCTCTTCCCCTGCTGCCTTTGCAGATGGTATTCCCTTCCACAATGATTTGCAGACTGATTCATTCACTTTTTCCCAGTCTTGCTAGTGTAAAATCATCAAGCATAATGAGTTTTATGGTAATTCCTTTTTTAGACACATGGAATACTTGACCTTCTATTATTAAGATTTTTCAGATATTCAGTATATTCATTATGTTTACAGAATTAATAGCTTCTTATAGAGCTTTATTTTTTTGTTATATTTTTTTTGGAAATCAGAAACAAAGAAAATCGATCTCTTAAGTTGGCCTTGATTTGTTAGTGTTTTACAATACTTCACATGGGAGCAGTATATAAATGCTAATGTATTGGTTTTAATATTTCACGAAGTATATGGGGGTGTGAGACCACTAAACATGTAAAGGACTGTTTTATTTAAGTTTTGTAACTCTCTCCTCAGATAAACCTGACAGACAATTTGGGGAAACTCTCTCATATCCTGGAAATAGACCACTTTGCTCTCGTGGTTCATGAACAAATTCAATGTGAGTATGATGTACTGCGCCTTGTAAGAGGTAACCTTTGAGTGGTAACAAGAAGCAAGTACAAGTGTGAGAGTGTAAACAAGTTCTGAAGAAGCCAAATCCTCTTTCTGTGTATGTAACTATGTGCTACTAACACTTAGTAAGACACTAGCACTGTAATTCTTGTGGAGTAAATGTTAAATCCATTTATAACCCTAAAAATCCATTTATAAAAAAAAACATTTATCCATTTATAAAAAAAAACCTATAAATCCATTTATAACCCTGTAATGTACCTGCTTTTGGAGGAAGTTACTGCTCAGAACTCAATGCCTGAGTCTAGTCCACTGTACGGTGGCTTTGTTAGTAGCAGTAAGCCAATGAATAAACTCCTGCAGTACAACTGATTTTTGCTTCTTCCTACTCCTGTCTTACAACTTCCAGCAGTTCTATCACAGTGGCCATCTTCCTTAGAGCAGGCAACTTGCAAAATTACAAACACTGAGAAACTAGGCTAAAACCAAAAATTAACACTCACCAGATAGCTGTCAGATAAGTTTATCTCAATTATAACTGTAAATGAAGAATAGTAATGAAATTTGGCTTTTTTCTGATAATCTTCATAAGGATGTGCTGACTAACTGTTTATAAACCTAGAATCTCACTGGAAGCAACGGATCTAAAATTGAGTAAATGAAGAGGCCAGGACAATCCAGCTGGCTGAACAAACTGTGTATAAGTAGGCTAAACATCTCAATACAGCCAGACTATAGGAACAGAGAACTTGGACCACAGATAAAGGGCCAGATGTCACTTGGCCAGTTGGTTCCCAGGTGAAAGGCTTATGCTCGCAATGAAAAATCACTTGAACCTGTGCTCTCAATGCAGCAATGATTAGATGGTTAAGTTTTTTGGATATAAATGGGAAAATGTTGGAGTGTGACTTTTATACTAACTCTGTATTTGACAGTGGTGTAGGAAGATGGTAGTGTCATATGTCCTCTAGCGGCCTGTGGTTCAAATGGGATAATATCAGTTTGCAGCTGTCTCAAGTAAAGCCACGGAAACTAATGTACAAGGAAAATATGTTTTATAGTAGAGGATTTGGTTTGAATTTTCATGTCAAGAAGAGTAAATCTGATGGACTCTTACCCTTCCTTCTATAATGTTTCTAAATCTCTTTTGTTGGGAAGCCTTTCTGAAATTAAAATCCTTGCCGCTTCTGAGTGACTGTCAGTCAAGATGACGTTTGGGTTCCCCCTCAGTGATAACCAGCTCCACCAACAGGCCCTGACACATGGAGCTAGGTTGGCTTGGCATCTGCCTTTACAAATAGTGCAATTAAAACCAAGTGGGATGGTATGTTTTTGTGCCCCCTAAAACCAGAATCTCCTCTTTTTCATGTAGATCACACCGATGGTTCCTCCAGTAAGCGGCAAATGGTGTTTGGCATCGTTACAGCCATCGACCTGCTTAACTTTGTGACTGCACGAGAACGGGAAAGAAAGCCCAACTAAAGTCAAGTAGCAAAGCGGAGCCTCTTCAACAACATTTTGCAATCTCCAGCAAAGAATCAGGTTTACTTCTTAGGTAGAATGCTCTGTCCTTAAGATGTTTGTTTGTTTTTATTTTTTTTTCTTTTTTAATTCTGAAAATAAGCAGTTAGCTATCCTGGTGTCAGCTATGCAGCCAGTGCATTTTGCCATATTGCACAGCTTCTGGGAACTTTCTTAATCAGGTTACACATATTTCTTATCAAGACAATTTATTTTTTTACCTATAAATATGTAAAAATATTGCCTAAATTAACTGGTGTGTTCCTTACTTGTTATGTCTAAAGTCTGGCTTTCCACAACATTGTTTCAGATTCATAAAATGTGTTGAAATAAAGAGTTACTGAAGCAGGGACCCAAGAGAGCTCTGGAAAGTTTTGGGATTTTTCTTTTTTTTTTTTTTTTTTTGTGAAAGGGTGTTAAGTTACCTAATACCTGTGTTGAGACAAAAGTGGGACTAGGGCATGGAGAGAAGAAAGGGGGGTTTGCCTTTTGGTGACATCAGTGTAAAGTGGGAGGAAGCCCAGAGGGCTGGAGTTGAGGCTTGTTTCAACCAGCTGCTCTGAGGAAAAACTGACTTGAGTGGAAGCCTGACAGTGAAGTGACAAACGTACTAATGAGTGTTTTACATGCTGCACCAGCTTTCACTGCAAAGACAGACCTTTCTCTCTTTTTCCCAATTGTACCCTGATAAGTAAGCACAAGTGAAAAGATTAAAAGGTAAGATTAAGCTTCTTGCCCAAAGGTTTTTGAAAATCACACTGTTTCATCTAGTACCTTCCCCTTACCTTCGTGCCGTTTTATTTATCTTAAAGTGCTTCTTTTTATGCCTGTTTTTAGAAGAGCCAAAGGTAATCTGTCAAGAGCTGTAAACTCTTTCAAGTCCTCCTACACTGTAGTGCCTTACTCCGGGAGAAAAACCCTACTATTAATTGAATTCACTGTAGCCAAGCTTGGAAGTAACTGGCAAATGTGGTGTGGGCTTGTACTGTCAAGAGTACACAAGAGTAATGTGCAGTAGGTGTGTGCAGCTACTGGATTTTTTGGTAATGTTTGACTTATGTAGCCGTGGCAGGGGTTGGCACTGGCAGCCCCAACTGTATACTGCTGTGCTCAGGCTACTGACTGCTGTTAGTGGGAATGATGAGTGGAATCACCCTGCGGTCACAGGAGAAAAGTAGCTGTTCTTGATCTTCATAAAGACTGCTCTAATCATCTTCTGACTGGCCTTTTGCCAAGAATAAGGTTTTTGATCAGTAAGAGCGACACTTTTCTTAGCTTGTCTCTCTTTCCACTGAAGTAGAAAAAACCTGTTTAGGTTGGAGCTATTGCTGGTAGGATAGCAAAGTAGTTGTTTTGGTTTTGGGTTTTTTTTTTTCCTTACAGAAAAGAAAAAAGCTAAAGGGACTTGTGAGACAGCTAAGAGAAAACAAAGGGGTTATTTAAAAATCACAATTACTACCCCTGTATATAGATTTCTCTCTACCTTGCTGACCTCCCTGTGGCAGTGGAATTCGCTGTACATTTTGGAAGGGTGTGCTCAGAGGAGAGAGGTGGTGGAAGCTGCTCTGGCACGCATCAGTGCTGAGCAAAGAACATCAAGCAGAGCCTTTGCAGTAATGCCTTGGGTGCCGCTGGCCTTGAGGAGGGACGCAGCCAAAGGGAGGCAAGAGCTCAAAGCCAAAGAAGTGACACCAGTGATAGTGTCTCCCTGCCAGCAGAGTGACAGCCTTGTTTGTTTTCTAGCTGCTTCTCTCACCTTAAATTTGTGAATGTTAAACTTTGTTATAATAATGAAAAGCCTTAGTCTGATTTCTGACAACTCTTTAATACCATGCTGGTGAACGCTGAGTTTATTCTACCCTTGTTGAGTTTATTGCCTTAGATGTTGGCTGTCCCTTCAGATTAGGGCATGGCCTATACTTACCTTAAACTATAGTTTAACCATTGAATTCATATACTTTAAGTTTTAAAACAACTTTTCCCAAGGCTCTGGAATAAACTACTATAAAGTCTAAAAAAGTGCAACTTCAATAATAATTGGTTTTAAAGGATGGTTGATTTTTTTAAACTTTTTTCTCTCTCTCTTCCCCCCCACCCCCCCCGCCCCCCTTATGCTGTGCAGTGATTCCTTTCTCACTGTTCCCCCTCGCTGTAGTAGCAACCCCAGCTTGGGTGCTATGACTATGAGATGTGCGTACCTGTGTGTTAAAGACACTATTTTCAAATCTGGATTAGCTTTTCTAGGCTGAACAGCTCTGTCTTACCTCTGTTGCTGCTTGGCAGAGCCTAATAACTCATTTTTCATACTGTATTTTTTTTATTAGCTACTACCTAAGGGGTCATAAATAACTTAGCACAGTTAAGAGTGTGGTCTTTGATCTTGGTGCTTTTAACATCCTATGTTTCTCAAGGTAGAGAGTCTCTGAATGGTCAGTTGTACCCCTTGAGACATTAGTATTTCAGCCAAGCTTCTAAACTCATTTCCTAATTATTTCAAATATTGTTGTCAGATACATTTTCATATCTGTTCTTAATTTACAAGGGAGACTGAGAGTGACTTATTTCTTTGATTACTTGTGTTTTCACTGTATCCTTTGATTCCCATACTTGTAGAAGAACCTGTGCACTTCACTATATGCTAGTAACTGAACTGTTTGCTGCAATTGTAGCTGTCACTGCTGCTAAATTTTGGCATTACTGTTGCTCTTGAAAATTTATCCTACTTGCTTTTATCTGATTTTTTTCCATCTGACCTTCACTGATGGCAGTGGGGAGGGGGATGCTTAAGTATTTGGGTTTTTTCCTTTTCTTTTTGTGCCTGTAAAAGCTCCATGTCTCAGCCCAACTGAATTCAGCAAGAAAAAATGAGGAGGGTAAAAGAAGATTCCCAAAGTTGCTTTTCAGAACAGCAGTACAGGAGAGAAGTTAGAGTTGGGGCAGCAGAAGTTTAATGGGTAGCTTTAGCTGTGACACAGAGAAAAGTGTAAAGATTTTAATATGCTTTTTTAGTTTACTGTTCATAAATTAATATCTGTTGTGTTATGAAATCAAGTAGTAGTGCTGACTAAGAAAGAAGGGCTGGTTAGAGCTGGTAAGGAAGAGGGAATGTGAGTCTAAAGCAATCCAAGTAAAAAAAAGTATCCAAGAAATGCACCTGCACCACTCTGTGTGGTTCGTTAAGAGCGGGAGCTGTCTCCTGTTCTGCACTGGCACAAGGAGAAAATGGTGGCCACCAGCCACTCTTAGTCACAGTAGCAATCCTGTTTGACCAGAGGAACTGGGGAAATAGATGCAGTTGCTGAATGACTAAAAAACTTTCCAGAGCTCTTGCCTGTAATAGGGATGAAGGCAGCAAAGAGAAGAGGGCGGGGAATCCTGCAAAGTTGAAGTTTCTCTGATGTAAAAGCTTATGATCGTAATTCTTTATTGCATGTGTGAGAATGTTGTTACTAGCCTGGTCGTGGTAGGGCTGGATTAATGCTGGAGTCATCTCTTTGTTTCAAATATTCTGAGGACCAAGAAAGATATTGCAGTTTGTTTGTTTGGTCTTTAACCTGAAATTCAAGTCCGGAGCTTGAACAGGACTGCGTTTTTTTCTGAAGTAGATGCCTTGCATCTTCTGTTTACCTGTGCTGGTTATGCAAGTGCTGACTAAGCCTGAAAACTATTTTGCACATGGACATTTTTATCAACAATTTATGCTGTGTTTGTCTGTCACTGTAAGAGAACATCAGTCCCTTTGGTGTAACGTTGGCTCTGCAAAAATACTTTTTTTTCCCCTCACCTGAAGACAATTATCCAGTAAAATCTGTATAATATTTTGCAAGCAGTTATCAGATGGTTACTTAAGGATCGTTTCGAAGTCATTGCATCCAATATTACTTCCCACTTCTTCCACAAGCTGTGGCTGACTCCAGAGCTCTGTCTAGCTGAGGCTTCTCTAAGCAGCCAGACCAGTCTTACCTGCCCACCAAACTAGTTGCTAAATGGTTTCTGAAAACGTCTGCTTGCCGTTATGAGTTTCACATAACATGCTCACTGTCAGGAGTTGCCTGGCATTGCCACTGTCATCCAACAGCCTTTCTTACTGCGTAGCGTCAACCGTAATGAAGGGAAGACTTCTTATGCTTTAAGGAGCTGGGAAAAATCAATACCAAATGCTGTATTTATTGCACAAATGTTCACAAATGTACAATATAAAGAGTTCAATAAAAGCTGTTTGATTGCAGAATTACTCTGGGCTTTTTAATGGCAGTTCAAGTTGAACGTGTATTAGACTGTAGGCTGTGAAAAATTTCTATTGGCTGCAGAAGACCTCTCGATTTCAATGTGTGGGCTGCAATGCTCTGCAGTTCTTTTCCTCTGTCTCCAGAGGGCTGCTGGTGAGCCAGCCCACCACGGGCTCCTCATGGCTGGCTTGAGTACAATCCTGGTGTTTCTGTTACAGGGGAGGAGGGGAAGGATGTAGAGGAAGGGCTCAGATGCCACTGGTGAAGTTCCTACAGGAACAGGTGCCTGTGTGGTCAATTGGATAGATATTTCTGAATAAATGCAAGGGGTATGGACCAGCCTGTGTTTCTGTGAGAAGGCAATGTCTTTTGGGAATTACAGTGAAGCTATAATGTTTAAAGGTGCATGAATTCAAGTGAGGTGCATGGATGTCCTTCTGTGGTTAAGGAGCAGCTGGGAGAATCTGAAGGGGCTGGCTGTGTTATTTCAGAGCTGTGTATTTGTGCTCAGCATCTTGGTCAATTGCTTAAGTTAAACTGCAATGAAGATGGTTTATATCTGCTAGGCAAGTGAGTAAAGCCCTCATCCCTTGTTTTTTTGGTCCCTATTTCCCCATGCGGTCAGTCCTTGCTCAGCCCCATGCAAATAGCTTAGGACCCTATTGGCCAGTCTCATCAGGATGTTATTGCATCTCGGAGATACGGGGAAGGGCCAGTGGGTGGAGAGGTGCAGGGGGGCTTCCT